AAAGGCTGTATCATCTTATCTTCCTAACAGTGTGTAAAAAATACGCAGCTCCCTAATACCTCAAAAATATTCAATATTTTTGATCTTTTTACTTTTTTTGCACACCCAGCAGGAAAGTGAAGTTATCATGATTTATTTGCATTTTCCTGATGCTAATAATAAACATACATTTAAATATAAATATAATGCTAATGGTAAAATATACCATTATGGTATATATTTTGTTTTAAATATATGGTATATATTTATATTTATATATTTATATATATATATATTTATATTTGTTTTAAATATATGGTATATATTTATATTTAAATATAAATATAAATATTTATATTTATATTTAAATGTATGTTTATTATTAGCATTATATATGTTTATATAGATAGATATAAAACATATCTGCATAGCTCTTTTTCTCATAAAACTTTTGGCTTATTTGTGTTTTTTTCTCTCTTCCAATTGCAGAATATGATTATTTCATGTGTATATTACATGGTGAATGCAACTATTTTTGGTAGTTTTTTTTTTACCTTTTAAAAAATAATTTTTGGTTTGCATATAGCAAAAATGGTCAACATTTTTTCATTTACTGTTTCTGAATTTCTTTAGTTTTTCCAAGATCTAAAAACTAAAATTTCTCAGAAAGCAAAACCAATGACAAAGAAAACATGACCCTCACAGGTATGGTCCCTTGTCCTGTCACAGACTCATCAGAGCACTGAGGGGAGAAATAGGATCTCAACAGTCAGTGACGCCAGTTCATCTGGATAGCCACAGCGAGAAAAAATGGATTGGGATACTACATCACTCCTTACTAAACATTTTTAGATGACTTGAAGGTATAGATTTAAAAGATAAACATAAGTATTTACTTTTAGGGGTGATTAAGAAGTTATTGACCATGGTGATGGTTACATAGATGTGTGTGTGTGTGTGTGTGTGTATCACAAATTATATCAACTTGTTCACATTAAACATATGCAATTTACTGCATTTCAGTTATACCTCAATAAAGCTGTCAAAAATTTTAAAGTTTTTACCAGAAAACGATACAATATCTTCATTACTCTGAGTGTAGGCTAGCCTTCTTAAACACACATGGAAAGCCTCATTCACAAATGAAAACAGTGAAACACGGGACTATTTTAAATTCGAAACCTTCTATTCATCAAAAAGGTATCAATAAGAGAACAACTCCAGAATAAGAGGAAAGATTCACAACACGTAGAGCAAAGCAACTGTGTCTAAATATGCATGCAACGCCTACAATTCTGTAAGGTAAAAGCATGCAACCCGATAGAAATGCAAGCAAAGAAACAGACGCTTTATAAAAGATGATATACCAATGTCCAAGAAACATACAAAAATGTACTTGGAACAGCTGAAAAGTCAGCAAATAGTACAACAAAATTTAAAAAAAGTTGGTATGTTTATGCAATAAAGTTAGATGATAAGTAGAAGTGAAACACAGCTAAGTGCCAGAATACGCATGAACGCCACAAACTGAAGGCTGCAGGAAAGGAGCTGGACAAACAGTACCTTCGCTGATAATTTTACTTATTTACAGCATGACTAGTGCCAGACAACTAAGGTTCAACCTTGGGAGGCAGTGACTGGGAGAGGCTGTGGAAGGGAAGTGTGAGTCTGGTAAACGTTCATTTAGTGAGCTATATGGTCTTGACCTGACAGGGACATATTTACTTTGGGAAATGCATTGAGCTACACACTTATACTGTACAAACAAATAAATATATGGACATCTTTGAAAAACGGTTGTCTGAGAGATATCCTGTATTTTCACATAACTTTAAGTTTTGAATCTTTATGTTTACACCTTTAATCAAAGTGTAACTTATTTTGTTTACATTTTTAAACATTTTAAAATCAAATCAGGTGGCCAATTTGTCCAGCACTATGTATTAATAGGATATCCCTTTTCTCCGATATGGAATAATTTTATGATAAATTCAGTTCCTGTACAGACAAAGATCTGTTACTAGAATCCCTATGCTATAGAATATATGTGTATTTCTGTAACAAGTGCATACTGTTCTGTTTATCGTTAGTTTTTCATATACTTTGATATAACATGGGATAGTCCTTCCTTATTATCCTTAACAACATATTTCTTATTCATTGGGAGTATTTCTCTTCCAGATTAATTTTTAAAAATTTGAAAATGCTATTAAAATCCCAATTAATTTTAGATTTTATTGAATTTAAAACTTAATTTGCAGAAAATCTGTACATTTAAATTTTGTTCTAAAACACAGTATGCATTTTCATTTTTAAGGTATTCTTCACATGTATTTCATATGAAATCCATATGTATATGAAGTTCATAACTGAATACAAAAGAATACCAATGCTGTTGCATTTCTATTTCTATATTTATCATAAACATATACATTTAAAAGTAAATTTCATATAAATTTTACAATTAAATATGTTTATGATTAAATATATCTATGAATGCATATGTATACATGTATTCATATGTGTATGTGTGTATGCATATATCTATGAACGCATATGTATACATGTATTCATATGTGTATATGTATGCATATATCTATGAATGCATATGTATACATGTATTCATATGTGTATATGTATGCATATATCTATGAATGCATATGTATACATGTATTCATGTGTATATGTGTGTATGCATATCTATGAATGCATATGTATACATGTATTCATATGTGTATATGTGTGTATGCATATATCTATGAACGCATATGTATACATGTATTCATATGTGTATATGTGTGTATGCATATATCTATGAACGCATATGTATACATGTATTCATGTGTATATGTCTGTATGCATATATCTATGAATGCATATGTATACATGTATTCATATGTGTATATGTATGTATGCATATATGCATTTACATTTTTTGTTAGATATATTATTCCTGAATTTTTTTTTTACCTTATATGTTTTTATTACATTTCTAGTAAGTTATAGCCTATGTGGAACTCAATGGACACATTTATCCTGAATGAAGTCACCTAGTGAATTAATTATTGCTAATAGTCAACTGTCTTCCAGTTACAATATTTATAATTCATATCATTTTCATATACTTTTGCATTTGTTAGGGTCTTCTGAGCAATGTTATATGAGAGTACTAAAACCAAGGGGATACTCTTGTTACTGACTTTCAAGGGACTTTTTACAACAACTTACTATTAATTATGGTGTATTTGTAGGCAAATTCAATTATATGATGGTTCTCTGTAGATTTATGATAGCAATGTATTATTTTAGAATTTATTATTAAATATTTATTTTAGAGTTTAACGTAAGAAAATGAAAATGAGGAGACGTGTCTTTCCAGAAAGATTTAGGCACACCTACTGCTCACAAGTTTTCACCTCTTTCATCTGCTTGGATAAGAAGCAGTTGTTGGCCTAAGAATTCCTCTGTGGGGAAATGTGGGGGCTGGGTACCTATAGTCCATGCTGCAGATTCCCATATGAGAGGGGAAAAAGCACTAGGTAATTTCTGCCACTTTCTGCTATTGAAGTGAAATATGAGAGAAATTAAGACTGCATGTTTTTGTAGTTCTCTGAAGTCTTAATGTCTTGCCTGCTGCAATAGTAATTCTTAGCTCAATTAAGATGGGTAAGAGGCAAAATGATGTAAATACAATGTCCAAATCACCTTGGTGCTTACACCAATTTCCTAGGCAAATGGAGTTGATGTATTGGGATTATAACCAGTATCAGGAAAAGGAAAATGCCTCAGCTCATCTGCACAAAATCTCGATTCAGAAACTGAGCAGAAAGTGCATGCACCAGTGGGGGATCACCCTGCATTGCTTGGCCAGCAGCTCAAGCCAGGCCGCACCTCCTTCTGAGCCTGCCTGTGTGGCCCCACAGATGTGGAGCTTGGCCCCCACCTATTCCTGCCCAGAGCACGACCTTTCCACTGGCCCCAGCTGGTTCCCACGCTTTCTACACTTCCCGAGAGGGCTCCAGCCACTCTGTCCACCTGCGCTTTGTGGCCTCTCTGCCACAGTTCCAGTTACTGTGGGGTTCATGCTTTGGTGACAAAGGTCAAAGATTTTGAGTGATCTACAGCTAATCCCACAAACCCTGCCATTTTGGGTGCTCATTTTAAAGAAGTCACGGTGTTTAATGAACACGTGTCATGTTTGAAAGACAATAGCTCTGCCTATGAAAAGTGCTGAAGACACAAATAATACTATATTTTTGTTTTTTTCCATAGACACAATGTTTTTTGGAACACTGTTTTCTACAGAAATAATGTCATAATGGGGTTATATTCATGGCCAAGGACAAAATACCCCCAATTTTTTTTCCATTTTTTTGGGCAAATGATTACAAACAGCATATTTACCGAACTGTTATTATAACTACACACTGTATAGTATAAAGTCAAGTAATACAATAACACAAAATAATCAGGAATGTTATTTGTTGTGAGATTCCCAAGAGAAGATTTGTGTAGCGCAAGAAGAGTGGCTGTTACCACAAAAAGCAGCTGAAGATCTGCTGAGAGCGCCTGTGCTCAGAATGAGAACTCCCAGAAGGCTCGGCTAGAGACTCAGGGCAAGGGAACCAAGGCACGCAGTGCAGACTGAGAGGAAGCACGACACCTGGACATACATCAGAGGAATATCAGGTCTGACATCCTAGGCTATGTTCAGCGACTATGGCGCCCCACATGGTAGTTTCAATAAATACCGCCTGTAAAGCACATGTGTAGAACTAAGCTGTGTAAGTCTGATCATCCGGGCATAAAGTTGAAGGACAGCTGTTCTACCTAGGGGATACATGGTTGCAGGTAAACTTCAAGTGATCAGGAATGATACGATTATGGTACAGAACTTTTCAGAGAGAAGTCACACCAGTCATACAGTACCACCCCCTGAAATACACACCACTGAGCGATCTAGATGTATGTGCTCTCTCTGCATGTCTGTGTGGTACACTGCCTCTCTGAGCTCCACCTACCATCGCAGCTGGGCAAGGCGTGGTTCCACTGGTGGTTCCTCTCACAGACAAGGGGCTCGTCATCACTTAGTGTGTACCCGGGGTCGCAGCTGAACGTCACCGTGGACCTGATGCCAAAGTCACTGCCATGGCGATGGCCGTTCACAGGGATGCCCGGGTCCAGGCAGGAGTCTGACTCTAGCGTCACACCTGGATGCAAAGAACGAATGCAGCAAATGAGGGTGCCTCTGTTTGACTGAAAACATAGAGGCACGTGCCATAAACAATGAAACAGTCTCAGAAATCATAAGACCTAAAAGTTATACAAGCGAACCCAATGATCCATTGGCATAAAAGCCAAAGCATCTTCAAACATCTGACCTTGTATTTTAAAAGAGAGATTCGATTTGTATTGCTATGCTGTTTACCAGATATTATCTACATAGAATGACCTGGAATCATTAATTAACATTTCTGAATTTTACTTTTTTTCTTGGAAAATCAATGAATTGCACTAAATAAGGCATAAGACTTTTCCTGTTTTCTATTTTCACCCCTCTCCGTGTCACATTTACACACGCACACACACACACACACACTCCCGTTAGATTTGGGCAGTTTAACTTTCAAATATATGCATACATACACCCAAACACATACACACGTAATGCAACTGAAATCTACACTAGTGTTATTTTTCTAAGATTGCATTCCATAAATCCATGCAATTTTCAAATTCAAATAAGTCAGCCATTTTCAAGATAGCTACTATTAGCCTTTGCTAAAAGATGTGAAAAATTAATATGCATGAACTAATTATGATCATGTCATTATGAGAGTTTCTTTTCTCACATTTCTCATTTCTCTTTCTTTTTAGAAAAACATATATTTTAAGACATAAGGAAAATAAGAATGGGGAAAAGAGCATCACTGTAATAGTCACACACACAAAGAAATAAAAAAGTCCTTGTTATTGCTGTGTCATTCTCTCAGTAAGGCTCACACCATTAGAATTAATATCTGAACTCTGAATTAATAATGATAAAGTATTTTCCATTTCAAGACGGTTTAGTCTCTAAAAGTGATCTTTGGGATATTGGTTCTGATCACTGCATATCTACTTATTTTCCCAAAATTTGAGTGCTATAATGTGGGTCAGGTCCGTGTAATTTTTTTCTTACACTATTATTCTAATAAATTTTCTAAACACTAACACATGCCCATTACCCTAAACCATAGGATGTAACTGTCCTGGCTGATGGGCTGCATGCTGGCAAAGCCTCCTTCCAACTCTGCAGGTTTTATTCCGCCAGAGGCAACGTGGATATGATTTGGCTAGAAATCACTATGTACCCCCGCTCCTCCCTCTCTCTCTCTACATACACATCATGTACATGTACATGCACACACACACACACACACACACACACACACACACATTTACTTTCAGAGGCCTTGTTTATGACTTCCTTCATGATGCCCCCACAGACTGTATGCATCACTGGCTCTGAACGCACACATGGGTATCCAATGCTGGGTAAATACTCTTTTTGTTGTTTACTTTTAAGTTTAGGGGTACATGTGTGGGTTTATTACCTAGGTAAACTTGTGTCATGGGGGTTTGTTGTATAGATTATTTCCTCACCCTAGTATTAAGCCTAGTACCCATTAATTATTTTTTCTGCTCCTCTCCCTCCTTCCACCCTCCACCCTCTGAGAGGCCCCAGTGTGTTGCTCCCCTCTATGCATCCAAGTGTTTTCATCATTTAGCTCCCACTTATCAGTGAGAACACGTGGCATTTGGTTTTCTGTTCCCGTGTTAGTTTGCTAAGGATGATGACCTCCAGCTCCTAGCATCCAGATCAAAATCAGGACAAGAATTCCCTCAAAAGCAGCAGCTCTGTTGAAGAAATGCATTGATCTCTAGGTTTCTGGGGGAAAAATAAACTAAATAATTTCACTTCTTCAAAAGGATTTCTATGGTCACTAAACAACAGTATATGCACTGCAGCAAAACAGTAATAGGAATTATTATCTTAGAATAAATGAGAACTAAGTATCAATGAACAGTTTTCATAATGAAATTTACAAACCATAAACACAACTTTTCCCACACAAAATTTACAGTGAAAAGAGAAAAATTGTGGTAGAAATAAAAACATAAATTTTAAATGCTGAATTATTTAAATTTACAACTGAATAAACTTTTAAGGTCACAACTGAAGCTAAGTTCTGATATTATGCCATAATATTTTCATTCTTTTTTTCAAAAAACAATGGGCACCAATATTGAGTATGGAAATGTGCAGACATTGTTCTCTTTTGCATTACAAATTGTTTGAAGGAGAATAGAGGAGGGGAGAACTGTTGGGTGGTAGAATTATCACACTATATTTGATTTCCCATTCAACTGAAACTAGCCATGTAGAAGAATCACAGAACAAGAAAACGGTAGGAAAGAACAACGGTGGCTGACGCTGTAATCCCAGCACTCTGGGAGGCTGAGGCAGGTGGATCACCTGAGGTCAGGACCGGTGTGGCCAACATGGTGAAACCCTGTCTCTACTAAAAAAAAACAAAAATCAGCTGGGCGTGGTGGTGCCTGGAATCCCATCAACTAGGGAGGTTGACAGAGAATCACTTGAACCCAGGAGGCAGAGCTGCAGTGAGTCGAGATTGTATCACTGCACGCCAGCCTGGGTGACAGACCAAGACTCTGTCAAAAAAAAAAAAAAAAAAAAAAGAAACATATGGAATTTCATAGCAGGTAATTTCTCTCCAATGGGACAAACATTTCTAATAAACTAAGATTGGTCTGTGGACACAGGCAGCCAGTTTACCTTGTGGGAAAGGCAGGAAAAAGTCCTTCTGAGAAACATTTAGAGCAACCTCTTTCCCTTCCTGTCTCCTGCCTGACAGCACAAAAAGAAACACGGACCAAAGGACTCTGCTGAAATGAAGGCTACATTCAGAGTCTACTCCCACTCGCTCCTACCTGAACTTTAAAGCAACTATGAATTTTTGACACAAATTGATATACATATAGTACTTTTTTTTTCAATTGGCCTTTGCAAACCAAATGACTGAATACATTTGCTACTTAATGAATAAAGGGAGTTGATTACTTTGAAAGTAATCCATATGCAGCTTATACTGAGGAACATTTTATATGAGCAGGGCTTTATCTGAATCATCAGTCTTCATAAAAGTTCTAGGCCAAGGAAGGACTGAACATTTTCTGAGCAGATTTCATATGTCAAGCTTAGAGATGTCACTTCTCACAGCTGCAGAAGGTTTTAAAACAGGTTGAAAAGTCACAGTTGATAGAGGAGGTAGGGAGCCAAGAAATTAAGCAAACAGGTGATGTAACATTATCTACTGTTATTCAAACCTGAGCCTCTGCCTGCTTTTCTCCTCTATGTCATGCACACATGCATGTGTTTGCATGTGGGTGTTAGCATGTATATACCAGCATGCATGTGTGTTATATATACCCTTGTATTACATCCAGTACAGTTACCTCTCAACCATGTTCCTTTCCTCTTCTGATCATAGAAAAATTCACCGATTATCTGCAAACCAATCCGTGTGGTGTGCATCCACATATTAACCACTAAATACACTGCTTTACGGGTCACAGTGTTTCTCCCATTAATATCACCATGTATGAATCGCATAGAATATGGACATTTACATGTGGTCAATCTTTCTTCTGCCTTCAGAGATTATTAACAAGACACTTTTGACAGCATTTTCAAGAAGTGCTCTAAAATTAAATGGAAAACCTCCATACCCTTGAGAATTCCATTTAGTTTGCAATTTCTTACAAAATTATGCCTGTTTTAAAATGGTGATTCAAAGATCAACTAACAAAGCTGATGATTATTCTGGAGCGAGAATGCAATCACCATCATATACAGAAACTGCCACATTCCTCGTAAAGAATGGCTAGACTGTCACTGGACACTAACGTATGCGATGATTCCTGAGACCGAGGGCAGGAAGCAGAACTACAATTCTAGGTATGTTTTAGAAAAGCCTCAGAATAAAAAAAAAAAAGACTTCAATCTTTCCACCACACAATTCAGAAAGGCCTTCTGGAGTGAATGCTGTTTACAGTAGCTCACACTGCCTTGTGGCACGGCTGCGAAAATAAGGCAGCCTCAGTCCATGTGGCTGTAATTTCTGCAACACACTTTGTCTATAGAGCGCATTGCTATGGGCCTCTTTGGGCATGAAGAGGAGTCATTCATAATTTCCCAAAGCAAGGAATGATTACAATGTGCAACATTTATGATGAAGCACAAAAGAGATAAACAATATTTTTAAGAGGCATAAAGAGTTTGATATGAATCATTCTTGGGTCACAGGTAACTTTTTTTTTTTTTTTTTGAGACAGAGTATCGCTCTGTCACCCAGGCTGGAGTGCAATGGTGCGATCTCAGCTCACCGCAACCTCTGCCTCCCAGGTTCAAGCAATTCTCCTGCCTCAGCCTCCTGAGTAGCTGGGACTATGGGCACACGCTGCCATGCTCTGTTAATTTTTGTATTTTTAGTAGAGGTGGGGTTTCACCATGATGGTCAGGATCTCGATCTCTTGACCTTGTGATTTGCCCGCCTCGGCCTCCAAAAGTGGTGGGAATACAGGAGTTTTTTAAGAATCTGTTGGATGAGTGAGTGTAATCATTTTCTAGTGGCTGCATGATGGCTTCAGAGCCTGCTTTGTAGAAGGGTGCTAGACAGGGTTATGTTGATGACGGGGTTAAGAGTGTCTCTTCCAGGTTTGCCTCTTTTTCTCTGTCTCTGCTTTTCTTGCTGGGTCCAGTGGTTCCTTTATTCCTCCATGATCTCTCCTGGGCTTGGCCCCTTCCGTCTTGCCTGCCTGCGGGTTCTCTCTCCCTGGAGACTGGGATCTGTGTCTGCCTTCACCTCATTGAGAATCACCTTGAGGACTTGATTAAAAGCTCAGGATTCTGATTTTCATCACACACTCCCCAAGCCACAGTATTTGGAATCTGGGCTTGGGGTCTCTACAACTTACTAAGCTCCCCGGGATGTATTAGTACACCGCCCCTTCAGCACTGGGTAAACAAGGACACCTTCTGAGTGGGTCACCAGCCTCTGAAAGCACTCAGATCTCTACACCACCCACAGAAATAGCAACTGCACCATCTGAGCTGGCGCTCAGGCATCAGCTTTATTTTAAAGCCCCTCAGGTAACTGTTAGGTGCAGCCCCGGTAATAAGCGCTCACAATATCCCAGGCCTTTCCTGACTCATATTCTTAAAACACAAAGTATGTCCTGTATCTCATTCACTTCTGTACCTTTCCTTACATCTCTTCAAAGACATAGCAGCTGATACATAAATGAGAAGTGATCACAAGTCAAGGTTCAGTCCACATCCCTCTGAGGTCACAGTTCTCCCTTAAGTCAGAAGAATGCATGCCAAATCTTTGAGAGCCTTCTGGAAGGATCCCTAGAAGGCCACAATATGCATGTCTGAATGTGTGTTTAGATCAGTGAGCCTTTTAAGTCACAGTGCTGGAAAGTCCCACACACGACAATTTCCTGTCTTTACTCACTAGGTGAGGCCTCTGCTCACTTCTGTGGCTATGGAGTTACCTCCTGAGATTTCCAGTAAGGTGGGAAGGAGAAGGAATGCTAGACTCTCCAGCACATCAGAACTTCACAACTGTCACAATCATCACTCTACTAAACAGGCACCATCTTGTTGACAGTTTTCTTCTTTTTAGGGAGGCAGAGAAAGAAAAATGGCAAAGAGCATTGCTCTCCGCAGGGTACTCCAGGTATTGGGAGGACGCCTTATGAAGCCTGCACTCTACTTTTAAACATGGGATAAATGAAAAGAACACCAAAACATAGGCTAGTCATTCTTTTAAGATGGTAAAAATAGTTGTCAGCATTATTTATATATTGTTATATTATGGCATAACATAATGTGTATTTTGTATTTTATAATAATAAATGTTACAATACTATATTAGTGAGGATGACAAGCTAAATAGAAATTTGTGAATAGACTTTATTCACAGAAAGAGAAATGAAAAGGAGTCATTTATTTAAATGAGTTAGATAAGCAAATGAAATTAGTTTCTGCTCCCTTCACATAGGGAAGGGAACTAGAAAAAGCAAAGTCATCTACAGCTATACAAACAGAGATGAAAAGAAAGGAAAAGTGTCCTGATTTTTGTCAATATCTGAAAATAATTATTCTCCAAAGTTTCATGCACTATATACTGAAGGGCCAAGAAGTTCTGGTGTAGAAAAAGTTGCGGGGAGGGTGTGAGGTTGACAAGAAACAAGCCTGGGCTAACTCAGTGCTCAGCAATTTTACACATTCAGATCATTGCAATGTATATTTATTGTTACTCCAAAGAAAAGTGACAACTTGAATGGACATTTTAAAGAAACAAAATGTGAAATTTTTTGGTCTTAAATTTTACTTGGAGTTTTAAAATATGTTACTTTGGAATAAATGTTGTATATTTATATAAATGAAGAGTAATAACTGAACTATATTTGAAATTCATCATTAAGTCATTAATAAGCAATTATCCTGCTACCAAAATATATTTTTATGTAAAAGCATATATAACCTTAAGATATACATGCATATGCATGTTTGTGTATAATTATATGAGTATGTAAGACAGAGAAATGCGCTCAACAGGTTATTACTTTAAATGTGCTGGAGCAGGGCTCAGGGAGAGGTTAACAAGAGTAACGGGGTGATGTGGGGAATGGAAGGCAAGAAGAAGAATAAAAGGAGATTTGAAGCCCAGCATGTTAGATCTTATTCTATGCACTCATTTGGAAAATCATATGTGTGGGTACATGTAATTTTTAAAAACATCTTTACAATTAATCGTGCTTGTTTTCAGATAAGGTTCTGAAGAAGAACTACCATAAAGATTCGGCAGAATAAAGCCTTGATTCCTTCAAGTCGGATGGATGGTTACTGCCGCTCGCTCTCCCTCTTTCCACGCTTCTCTTTGAGGGAATTGTTTTCCAACAGAAAACAGTAACAGCTGCTTTGCCTTGTTGTGTTTTAATTGGCTAATGTTAAGAATGTATTCCTAGGGAGGATTCCCATCAGTTAGACTTCAGAAGCATATTTGCATAAATCTTATTATAAAATAATACAGTTACTTAATCTCATCATTTCAGAAGCTAAAACTTTGACCCGAGGGAACAAAAAAGGAAAGGAATACTTCCCATTTGGAAGTTTGAACTGTCTTGCAAAATACATCCCATTATAATATTTTAGCAATTGTTTTAAAATACGTTTAATAATTATTCTGAAGTATTATTTGTGCTTGCTGAAAGACTAACAGTTGTTTGGAATTTGGTAAGGTTTAGCAGGTCTGAATTCCTTTTTCTCGCGTCATTACCTGACTTTCACCTGGTGAAGCGTGTCTATCTGTACTCTGAGATTCTGTACACAAACTGACCTAACCCTGTTCTTCTAGCAAGAATCCCTTTCTCCATTGCCTAGGTTAATATAGTTTTAGTAATACACCCTATAAGACTTTTGGTCAGAAAGTATGTTTACTAATAACAGAGGTATATTATTACTTTATGCATAAGATGAACCCATTTTTTATTTCTTTTTTTTTGAGACAGACTCTTCATCTGTCGCCCAGGCTGGAGTGCAGTGGCGCGATCAGGGCTCACTGCAACCTCCACCTCCTGGGTTCAAGCAATTCTCTTGCCTCAGCCTCCTGAGTAGCTGGGATTACAGGCCCACACCACCACACCTGGCTAATTTTTTGTATTTTAGTAGAGACAGGGTTTTGCCATGTTGGCCAGGATGGCCTCGATCTCCTGATCTCATGGATCCACCTGCCTTGTTCTCCCAAAGTGCTGGGATTACAGGCATGAGCCACTGTGCCCAGCCCATTTCATTATTATTTTACTTTATCCTAGATGATCGATACATATTTTTGAGAGTTAAAGGGGAATGTCTCCAACATACTCTCTTATGAATAAGAGAAAGCCCTTACAATTGCATAATATGGTTTTGCCAGTCAAGCAGGATCAGTAAACCAGCACATTCATCTGCAGGCTGAAAATAATAACCCAGATCTTAAGTTCTTCAGCCCATGCTGTCCCACCACGCTGTCAAGGGAAGGTGCAACTCACTCTCGTAGTGGATGAGAAAACCAATGCTGGAGCGACTGTTGTCCGTGGTGAAGAGCAGGTACATGAAGTTCCCAGTGCTGATGAGGAACTGGGGAGCCTGGGTGCCGTGGTATTCGCCGATCAGCGGGGACGAACTGGCTGGCCCATCTCTGACCTCCAGAGTGTCATAATTGACTTCTGTCTGAAATCTGCAAATATGTGCATCCCATCAGAAAAGACATGCAGATCTGCCAGCTTACAGAGTGCTCCTGACATCCTCATTCCTCAATCAGAAACCCAGGCATGTCAGTAGAAAGAAAACAGTTGAGACTACGTATGCTTTCGAAAACTTCACGACACACATAAGGATAATACGTTTTCTCAACGAAACAGCACCAATTAAATCCCTTTCTCTTATTTAATACTCTGTCTTACATCACAGGCTCAAGAGTAGGTATTTAATCAGCTTAAAACAAAAACCAAATAACTATGAACCAGATTAGTTTTCATAGATAGATAGATAGATAGATAGATAGATAGACAGATAGACTGACTGATTATTCTCAAATAGTAAAAACTCAGCTATACATTTTATAACTATTTGTTACCATTCCCTATTAACATAATTATAGACACCTTAAAATGGGTGCACTAGAGTGAAATACTCTCATAAAGGAAGAAGATCATTAAAAGTGTGTGATGACAGTTTAAGTACTTTTCATGAAAAAAAAAAAAAAATCTTGTGCCTTTTAAAATTGCATTAACTCTTTCAAGGCATTAGAATAACCCTGCGTATACTGCCACGTCAGACATGAAAAGATACTTTAACAACTTCAAAAATTTAGAACAGCTTCCAAAAAGTGCTTACGTTTTCTTACGTTTCCAGAGAATCTGGACTGAGATTATACATATTCAGTTGCGGCCACTCAGGTTCCCTTTGATGCAATGCAGGCGCCACTCCAGGCACTGAGATAATTTTCTAAATGGGCCCATCTCATCCGCCCAGAGCTAACCTGGTTTCTGAGTGCCTGACTTTGCTCTCAGGGAGCAGCTTAAGCCTCTCAAGCCTCTGACTCACTCAGTCACATTGAGCCAAAGGAGCAAATGGAAGCCGATGACATTAGCTCCCACGCTCTGCGCTGGAAGTTGCTGATGAATGGGGGAAAACTTGGGAGAGAGGAAGCAATCTTAGTATCATGGCACGCAGTGAGAGAAAAGGATGTGGAGACCAAAGGGCTGTGTCCTGCATACATTAGATTACATACACCCCAACTGGTGCAAATGCACATGATAACGTATTTCTGCGACCAGGCAAGGTGGTGCCCTGAACCCCATTCTCCCATAAAGAGGAATTAGAGCCATTTGTATAGCACATGGCTGGACCAGAATAGGGCCACAGGCTTCCACATTTGGGATCAGATAGTGCCAACTTTGTTTTATGACACCTGTTTCTTTGGTAATAGTGAGGACTGACAAAGTGCATATCTCAACAACTGGAAGATTTCCAGGAGGACCTTGGAAACAAACATTTGCATGTTCTTTGCTGTCGTGCAATCTAACAGCTGGCAACACCATCGGCACAGAGGTCAGAATTTGTACGCACAATCCCTTCCTTCATAAAGGTGTTAGCACGTCTATTACGGTGGAAATGAATATTTCCTCATGCAATTCATATTTTAAGAGCAGTATACTATGTTTAGGGTAAAGATCACATATGTCTAAAAATATTAGAAATATCAGGGACTTCCAAACGGAACTTAGCAAAACATCACACTGGAATAATATTGAATGAACAAGATTGGGAAAACTCAAGCACATATCTTCCTTCAGGCAACAGAAAATACAGTGCTAATAAATTGGGCCAGACAAGAATATAAGATCCCTATTTATGCTAAATGACTTAAATTTGATATGCTGCTGGGAGTCAGCGTGTGCTTCAGCTCCACCTGCCAATACCTGAAAGAAGAGAAATTAATAGGAAACCAAACATAATCAACTGAATACTTATAGCGCTAATAACTTTTCAAATGACTGATTACACACAGTAATTCACTCTCTAATACAGCTGGATTTGTCAACATTTTTTTTCTTTTGTTCTGAGTGGTTATCCTATTGGGAATTATTATAATTCTGTCAGCAGCAAGTAAAAAATGGTTCATGAACCAAAGGCTTTTTAGTTTTTAATCATCAATTTCGTTTCAGCGTTGACACAAATAGGAAAACATTTGTTATGCAGAATTTCAACAGCATGCTTATTTTTTTAAATAAACTAATACCTATACAGCTATACAGCCCAGCATACTTATTTTTTGGGTCATGATATACATTATTAAATAGCTAAGCCTAACAACATTCTAGTGATAGTATCACTCACAGGCGATTAGTAGGTGATTAATCTGCTGTCCACATCCCACTGCCCACTCAGCATCACCAGCAGCCCTTGAGTGACCAACAGCCACCACCAGAACAGGAGAGCTGATTTCCTTTGCCACAGAAGGTACCTAAGGGTCTGGGGACCCAGAGCGGCTGCCATATGCAATGAGACACCAAGCAGAATTGATTCCAGTGCAGGTCCAAACCCAGAGTCAAATACAAGGGCTGGACCTCAGGAATGGTCCTCCAGGACTGGCACTTCCCCAACAACCTGCAGAGCCGTGGATGAGGGCTTAGAGGACACCACTAAGAAGAACAAAACTTACAAGTAAGCATCTGTTTCTGGTAAAGGGTACTCCTTTGCGGGAACCAAAAAGAACTGCCATCATTTTAAGGTTTAAGATCAATTTAATAAAAATATGGAAGAGACACATGTCATCAGGTCCAAATGAAGACTACTTTCTTTTGCTTACCTATCAAAAGTTATCTTGATAGAATGCCCTGGTTTTGCTTCAATTATCCATTCACAATTTAAAGAATCTTTATAATATCCTGGCCATCCAGGAGGCAAAATGACTCCACTGGATGCTGTCAGATGTCCACCACATGGAGCTAAAACAAGATGCACAACATTTATTAGATTAAATGAAACAAAGACCTGCCATAGCAATACCTCAATAAAAGCAAGAATATGCCTCTGTATTCATGGATTCAATGTTTTTAAGTATCAAAGCAAATCTGATTGCCAAGTCAACTGCACATTAATTGAAAGCAGTGTCTATATGTTACCTCCATGTACTTACCATAACTCGAAACAAAGTTCTTTTTCTCTAGTAATGGCAATGTATATGTGAGTTCTCTGTGCTAAATGAATTATCTCATTTAACTGCCAACCAATTCATGAGGTACATGCCTAGTTATCCATAACTTAAATGCATTTGAAATTTAACAAATATCTACGGATAAGCAAAAATAAAAGGACCTCAATCTCAAAGTGGAAATAACCTTAGGTGTATATACATGTACGTATTTACTTCCAATGTGTGCACTTTATTAAATAAATAGCCACAAGCAACATATTATTTGTAAGTGTTAGAAAACAAAACTTTCAAATTTGAGAGTACAAAATTAGATTGGATTGATCCTTTTGAAATGTTATGTGACAGTGATTTATAATTGTAAAGGAGAAATAACATTTGAAAGGGTATATAAGTGATGCTCACAAAAGCGATTAGGCACTCCTGTATCATTTAAATAAATTTTAAATAGCACATCAATATTTCATACCATAATTAAGAATATGTCCCTAGGTACATTTTTTTTCAGATTTTATGTATTCTGTCTTAAAATTATTTGCCATTAGTAATCATCTTTGTGAATTTATAGATATCAAATAAAATACATGAAAAAAATTCCCAGTTGAAAAAAATCCTTTTGGAAAAAATACTTCTTTAAATAACCATATGTATAATATACAAATGCATAAAGTTTATATCATTTTAGCCATGTTTTGATGCTAGAAAAAAATGAAATGTATGGATTTACAAATGGTATCTTAATTTACATCAGGAAACAAAATGAGAACAAACAAAAGTTAAAAAAATTATAAAAAGTAAATGACTGTCTACTGGAATGTGGCAAATATATTTGAAGCAACATTTGGAAATTCTGTTGATACAGGAAAACCTGTGCAATAGAATATTAAACTTGAAAAACAGGATATAAAATTTTCTATTATTATACATTTAATGAAAAAAAAATTTTATTCAGTGAACAGGGGAGTGGAAATTAAAAACATGTTAATAATGGATAGCACTGGGATTGCTTTATAGATCACATTTTTTAATAGTTTATTTTAAACCAAATAAGTTGCAATTGTTATTTTTACAACTATTCTACAGTTAAAATATGAAATCAGGGTAATTTCTATAAATTTGAGCTCCTGAAGAACATTTGATTTTTTGATAATAATTTTTAAAATATCCAAATTATAGTAATATTTTAATTTTTCTATTTAAGTTCTTAAATTCACATTTGGAGCCTATGAATCACATATCCATATACCTATACGTTAGATATAATTTAATTCATTTGTTGTTTAAAATGATATAGCAAATCCTTTTAAAAATACAGCATAAGCAAAATTAAATATATTAAATATATGACAACTTTTATTTTGTTATGTTTAAGCATCCAAAGATACTATAAGAAAGACATATGGCATTTGCAGAATGCAAAAAATTATGATAATTGAGATATTTCTAAAATCTGCATAAGGAGTCATTTCTGTCTTATTTTCCATATAAATACAAAACCAAAAGTTTCCTTTACTTTAGTAATGTTTTCTTTTGTATTTTTATATTTCTTGGGATACATCTAGCTTGTCACATATTAACATTAATTATTTTATTGTACTCTTACCCATCACTTTATAATTTACAGTGTAAGTTAGAACCGGAATTGCTTTATCCTGATGAAATAGACACTTTAATCGTTATATTGCCGATGAACAAAACTAACATTAAAATGGTAAGTAATAATCTCAGAAAGTAGATAGTAAGTAAGTAAGTAGTAAGTAACAATATCGTTTGTATTAGTCAGCTTGGAATAGATTACACTGTGGTAACAAACAGCCCCACAATTGTAATAGCTACCACAGGAAGCAGATTTCTCACATATGTGGCATGTCTAGGGCTGGGATACACAGGTCCATTCTTCAGGTGCTATGGCTAATGGGAAAAGGTTTTGCGAGGGCAATCAAAGACGCTGAGCCAGAGTTGAGTACATCACTTCCACATATACCTAACTGACCAGAACCCATCACAAGGTTCCTTTAACTACAAGGGGTCCAAGAAAAGGCATTCCACTTGATGGAGACCAAAAGTATCTGATGAACAACATCAGCGATGTTCACGTTCACTTAGCTGATAACAAAAAAAGCAAATATACCAATGAGGTGTTTAGAATGCAATTTCTTCTTGGCTTTGTTTCTTTTTTTTTTTTGATGATTTGAATTACAGTGATGAATTTCCTGATACTGGATTTCTAAAAAAAAAAAAAAAAAAAAAAAGGGAAAAAACCCAAACCTTCTTAATTACATGTGTGTGTGTTTTTTCCCCCTAGGGCTTTATTTTTAATGGAACATTCTGATTTGGGTTACATTAATGCTGGCCTGATAAAAGGGTATGTAGGAGGCAGCCTGTCTTCTCCATTATCCGTGCTCAACACTGAAGTCCTCCGTCCTGGTAAGAGATCTCACTCATGCCCCTCTAGGGTACTTGTGTCTTTTTCAGGGTTCAATCCTTAAATCTTTTTTTCATTCTTTTCTATGGTTCTTTACTTACACTTCACGCTTTTCATTTGAGTCATTTTTGGTATTTTACATTGTGTTAGAAAATCACCCATTTCCTACAGACTTTAAGACTTGCTGCTACAGAGCTGATGTTTTCATATACAGTCATTTTTCCCCAAAAGAGTTTGAGTTTTTAATGATGCCCCTGAGCTACACTGAGAAATATGAGCCTGTTAGAAGCAGAACAAAGAAAGAAAGAGCAATCTTTTGCCCAGAAACCATACAATTTACACTCAACATGTACCTGGCATCCAGAAAATTCTGCCAGAATAAATAAATGACATACGTTTTAAAATAAGCAATTGCTCTACTGTGAGATTTTCACTGTTTATATAAAGTTACATTATTTTTGTGATAGTGATATTTTTTGTTATATTACTAAATATCTATTTTTCTTTCCCAGTTTCTTTTGACAGAATCATAAACAGTTTGTCTATTTTATTGATATTAACGAAGAACTCATTCTTGCTTTAAATTGTTTCTAAAACTTGAATTTTATTAATACCATCCTAATTTATTTTTGTTTTTTCAATTTTTTTAATCTTATTAATTTTTTTATCATTTTGTTCTATATTAGAGGACTTAAAGATACACATTTTCCTTGAAACACAGGTTTTGCTGTCTCACCTTGTTTCTAATAGAAAGTACTATCTGCAAGGTTTCCAGAGAGGTGACATAGGCATCAAGGTTTGAGTTTCTCTTTAATGTATGATGACAGTGGACTTTTGATTGGCAGAGATTTGGCCTGTGGTTGTGGTTCTATTTTTAGGATATATTTCTACTTTAATTGGAATGTTACAGGGCATGTGACCTATACTTATTTTAATTTGTTAAGGTTCACTTTGTGATCAATTATATAATTGATTTAAAAAACACTTTTTTGAGAAAAACAATAAATATGAGAATTCTGTAAGGGATGTAAGGTTCTTTAAACATTTCTTACATCGAGTTTGTTGTATTACTCACTACTTCATTGCTATTTTACCTTTGCCCTACTAGATGCATTTACATCTGAAAGTTGGTTTTCTATTTGTTTTCAGTGGAGGCACTGATTCAGGTACCAACTGTTCCATCAGAGCATCCCCCTACCTTCTCTGAGGCTCAGCTGCTCAGTGATTAGGTTTCCCAGTGCAGGTAGAATCCTAACATCTTTTCCTATTAACTTTTTCTTTCTGCTGAGGGTTTTCTTTGTTAACAACCTAGAGCTAGGTTTTGTCTTTAACTTCACCCTGTTTGTGTTGTGCCCAGACTCACCCTGCAGTTTGTAACATATCTATAATCAGCCTATTACGGTAAAGGGCATAAGGGACAGCTAGACTTATGGTGAGGACAGAACAGCGGTGAGAGCAGACTGTTCACTTTACACTTCTTCCTTCTGAAAATTCATGCTTCCCAATCACTAGCCATATGCTTGGCTAAACATGATTTGCACCCATGATGAACTGTGCACTGTCATTAGTATCATATGTCAGAGCACCACATATGTACATACTGACTTATCTATAAAAGATAAAAACCTACCCATTTATTAACATTTTGTACAGCATAAAACATAAAAAAATCTATGTTTAAAAATGTGATGGAAATAAATACAAAGAAAGTTCAATGACTAATAGTGTTTTCTTGCCCTTCTATGTACCAGTGTTTCACCCATGAGTGGTGCCTTGAGTCCACCCAGTTGTTTTAACAATGTATGAAAAGGGTGAACACCAGAATACCCTCCTTCACATTTAGTGTCACCACATGATATAATACATAGGACCTGCTTAGAAGTTTCTGCTTCTCTTCTGAGGTCAGGAGTTTGAGACCAGCCTGGCCAACATGGTGAAACTTCCTCTCTACTAAAAATACAAAAATTAGCCAGGCATGGTGTCAGGCATCTGTAATCCCAGCTACTCAGGAGGCTGAGGCAGGAGAATCACTTGAACCCGGGAGGTGGAGGTTGCACTGAGCTGAGATTGTACCACTGCACTCTGACCTGGGCAACAGACTCAGGCACTTTCTCAAAAAAAAAAAAAAAAAATCCTACTTTGAGTAACAGTAACTTTGGAAGTGGGGCTGGGGCAGGATGAGGTAATGAAGCATCACACCCCCCAACCAGGCTGTGGTTGTCATGGAGGTGTTGAATGCTCCACGTCTACATCCCAGCTGTGTTTAAACTCTGACAGAGATCATAGGTCTGGGGATGTCATTTCAAGGTATTTTAGATAGGGAAGTAATTCTCAAACTGTATTTTATATATATGTATATATGTATATGCATATATATATATATATGGAGGTATATATATATATATGTATGTGTATATATATGTATGTGTGTATATATACATATATATATGGGAAATGAGAAAATAAAAATAAGCTAAATGGGAAAAAATCACCCATAACCATAATTAACATTTTGCTGTGCAGTCTTCTCTTTAGGGTTTTACAAAATTATGATCATGAGATATGTATTATTTATGACACATGTACCTGTATACTTTGGTCTTTCATGTGCTAAGGATACCTGAGACTCTCTGATCTTGTGATCTATGTATTGATACCTGTTATTCTTCATGACTTATTTAACCAATCCTCTGCTGTTTGAAGCTTAATCATTTCCAGCTCTTCACTGCTACACAGTCTTGCAGAAAACATTCTTGAAAATATTTGTATAGTTTCTTGACTATTTCTTTATGATACTGATCCAAAAATATAATTTATGGCTTAAAAGACAAGAACAATTTTAAGAGCCCTACTAAGAATTTACACTTTAATACCATGATTTTTATACCCTTAATAGCATGATTAGGAAATTCTAGTTTCTATATAGCCTTTTCAATAATACATCTTATTCACCTGTTTATGGTAAAAAGATAGACAAAAATGATATTTTACTTTTCTTTTTAAATTTGTACTTCTTTAATATACACTGGAGGTAAGCTTGTTTTTTTTTTTAAAGATTTTCTTAGTTTATTTTTCTCTGACTATTCTGATATGGAATGTGAACATGTACTCTAAGTAAACATTTTTAAAATGAGTCATTATTAGAGGCTACATCTTTTTCCTTAAAATATTTTTTCCTCTCTAGTTTTGTTAGATAAGTAACCAGAACAGAAATATGAAGAAGAAAATTAGGTGGTATTTATGTCAACTGCAATGAGAACAACAAAATAGTTAACCATAAGCAACTGTTACAAGATGAATTCTGTCCCTTCAAAATTCATACATTGAGGTCCTCACCCTCACAACTCAGATGGGGACTGTATTTAAAGATAGGGCCCTTGCAGATGAATTTACTCAGGATAAAGTGTTGCTGGAATAGAGGAACCTCAATCCAATGATTGTGGCTTTTTAACAAAGAGAACTTAGACACAGGGACAGACTCACACACAGGGAGAACTCCTTGTGAGTGTGGAGACAGATATGAGGGTGGTGCTTCTCCAGCCATGGAATGCCAGAGACTGCCAAAAACTGCAGGGAGCTGGAGGACCAGCCTGGGGCAGATTCTCCCTCAGAGCACCAGAAGGAACCCACCCTGCCAATGACATCTGGATCTCAGACTTCCAGCCTCCAGAACTGGGAGACTGTGCATTCCTGCTGTTTAGGTGACTGTATGTGGTATTTTGTTAGGGCAGCCCTAGCAAGCTAACACAGTTGGCTGCTTTCTGTGTGTGTCTGAAGACAGATAGTAATTTCAAAGGAGAAGAGTGAGTGGTGGCAAGGACTGCACCTTCACAGCGGGGCACGGTAGAGCTCCAGACCACGTTCCCATCTTGCAGGATGCAGGTGATGGACTCGGATCCCTGGGTCTTGACAAAGCCATCATCACAGTGGAAAGAAACCGAGCTCCCAAGTAGAAACCTGTCACCAAAACGCCGTCCATTTATAGGAATGCCAGGATCATGGCACTCATTCTGACCAAATGCTGAAGGGAAAAGAAGAAAAAAAAATGAAATAAAAATATACGAGTATTAATTATATGTATTAAAAAAGAAAAAACAGAACAAGCATATAAAGCATTCATATAATGTATGTAATTATATACATTTCAGTTATATCACTTGTAGACAGATAACACATTAATAAATAGGATATCAGTATCTAGTGAGAAAGAGCAGAGAGATAGATAGATACTATCACTTATACAGCAACTTAGGGTTTGAAAAGCACTTTTCATGAGAGCTTAGGAAAAGAAAGAACTGATAAAAAGGTGGGTGGTGGAAAGTGTTTGGATTCAGGGTTAGAATCCTGATTTTTGTTCTTTTTATGTCAGAGGACTCTGACACTGGGCAGATGACTCTGGTGTTCTGAGCCCAGCTATCTTTCTTTACAAAATGAGAGACTATTAAGTTTATATCCCCTAGTTACTGTAACACTAAATGGAATAATTACTGTCAAATGCTAAGTATAGTGCCTAAGCAAGTAGGCAGTAATACATCATAATGTAGTGTTATTTATATTAATATTCTCGCACTTTATTCCCTCTACAGTCCAGTTAAGTAGATATTCTTACATAAAACAGGTTTTAAAATGAGGAACTAAAACAAAGAGAAGCTAGCTGTCATTAAACTTTATTAACTACATACAAATGCTGTACTTTAATCCTTGGCTTCTCATATCAAATAACTCAGTTGTTTTTACTATACTACTTTGTTGCATGAAATATCCATAGGTGGATGAGTGGGTGGGTGGATGGTTGTATAGATGGAAAGAAGAACAGAAGGAAGGATGACTGAATGGCTGGCTGGATAAATGGAAGGACGGATGGATGGATGAATGGATAGATGGATAAATGGGAGAAAATGGATGGACAAATGGATGGATGGGTGGGTGGGTGGAAGGATGGATGAAATAATGGATAAATGGATCAACAAAAGGATAGAAGGATGGATGAATGATGGATTAATGGATAGAATGAGGGATGGATGGAATAATGGATAGATGGGTGGATGGATAGATGGGAAGATGGATGGATGGATAGATGCTTGGACAGATTAAACGGATAGATGGATGAATGCAAGAATAATGGAATAATGGATGAGTGGATGCAAGGATGGATGGAATGATGGATGAATGGATGGATACATGGATAGATGGATGGATGGATGGAAGAATAATGGAATAATGGACAGATGGATGGAAGGATGTATAGATGGATGGATGAATGAATGGATGGATAAATGAAAAACAAGAGAGAAGGAAGATGAAAGAGAGAGGAGATCCAGTCCCTTAGTTTAGGAGTAAGCAAGCCACCAATATAAATACAGTGATGTATTTAAGTTTTCAGGATAACACTATATAATTTTGCTACTCTCATTTTAATAATGATTATAAAACCTCTGAAATACTAGCCTTGAAATGTAACTTCACATACATATGAGAAAAATAAGAACATGTAAGTAAAATGGGAACTTGGATGTGTTGACTGTGTGGGCATACTTACTGGTGTAAGTGATGTTGAACCCTCTGCCAGTAGTAGAATGGTCAGACTGAAATTCCAAGCGAACTATATGCCCACTGCTGGCCAGTTGGGAAGGCACTTCATTGCCAGAAAAGGTACCGAGGACAGTTATGTCAGAAATGCCATCATCCTTGACCGCAAGGAAGTCAAACTGAGGCTCTACGTCAAAATCATTAAAGATGAGGTGAATTCGACTTCCTGGCTCCGAGATAATCAGCCAGACACAGTTCATGTTGTTTCCATATTCCTCTGGGTAATTTGGTGAGAGAATGATCCCAGATGATGCCGTGAAGTTGAAGAAGCATGAAACTGTGAAGATGCGAATATATTTTCAAACACTTTGGCACATATCCAAAGAACTGCCAGGTGAAACAGACAGCTGAGAACCCGGAAGGGCTATGTATGCCCACGAACAGCTATGATGATCCAACTATTTTAATATTAGTAATTCTGAACCATAATGTCTTCTCCTTTCCTAATTTGTAAGTCAAATATTTCATTATCTTGTAGAGCACAACCAGAACCTATACATAATCAAGCACAAGCTTGGTTCAAAAATGATCCTTTCAAGTTGACCAAAAATGTGTGCCAAGTGTTATAATTTCTACTTATAACTTTCTGCCTTCAGAAGAGCAAATATTAATATGAAAAAGTATATGCCTTCATCATAGGAACAACTCAGCCTGCTCTTCCATGATAACTTTATAATTTATATTTTATATTTTTCTGGAAGTGCATTTCTCCAGTTATTTAAAGTTTTATTAGTTACAGGGTAAAGATGAATAAATAAGTAACTTGAAAACATGAGATCATGTTCTAGGTGGATGATATAAACATATTTTGGAAAATTTACTTTTAAGAATGTGCACACAAAATTACACACACACACACACATATATATATAATTTTTGGAGGGAGAAACTGTTGGGTTTATCTCTAGAGTACATTTTTGCTTCTTATTCCACGTAGTTTCATACACACTCTTCAGCTGCTGCTGTATTTATTTACAAATAAGAAATTATTTCTTTAAAACTGACTGAGAAGTCTTTTCTGCTAGTTAAAATAGTATTCTCAAGAAGAGGACAGCTCTTCGACTGAATTCCAAAGCAGTACCACCACCCGTGGTCACATTGCTGAACAACTGCATTGAAGTGTTATACAGCATTATTAAGTCACTAAGGACTCTGCTGATGTGTGATACAGCAGATCATCATCAGCTTCTGATGGAAACGATGGTATGTGTGATGACCTTTCTGGTAGGAAACGTTCAAGTATGTTTTATCTAGTACATGTAATAAAATTATAAATTAGTTTTTATTAAATGAATAAGGCAGGCAAGTTGATGTTTGAGGATGTCCTTGCATGATTCTGGTAAAGGAAGCACCCCGAGCTATTCTGAGAGCTGCCCTCCCTAAATGGGTAGTCTGTGTCTTTCTCCTTTTACCCCCTTGCAAGGCCCTTGCAGGACAGGAGAGAGTCCAGGTCAAGGCACAATACTCACATACACAGCTGGGCTTGTTGCCAGACCACTGATTGTTCTGCTGACAGGTGATAACTCTCTCCCCCACCAACTCAAAGGCTGCTGGGCATTCAAAGGTGAGTGTATCTCCATGGAGGAAACTGCTGCCCATCCGCTTCCCGTAGGCAGGGATTCCAGGATCCCCACACCCTCCCTTTTCAATTTCTGAAAATGGAAAAGCAAATGAACCCTTAAAACACACATACACACACACACACACACGGAATATTTTTATCTCCACAATTTAGAAAGTGAACATGTGACTTCTTTTATGCTGAACTACACATTATTTTTGTAAACAGTTTCAAAAGGATATTAAATTGACCTAATATTTAATTTCAAAAGCCAAAAAAACAATGTCATTTCAACTGAAGAGAAAGGTATTTGCTTTGTTATCTTCCATTTATTTATTTATTTATTTTGAGACGGAGTTTCGCTCTTGTTACCCAGGCTGGAGTGCAATGGCACAATCTAGGCTCACCGCAACCTCCGCCTCCTGGGTTCAGGCAATTCTCCTGCCTCATCCTCCAGAGTAGCTGGGATTACAGGCACGTGCCACCATGCCCAGCCAATTTTTTGTATTCTTAGTAGAGACGGGGTTTCACCATGTTGACCAGGATGGTCTCGATCTCTGGACCTCGTGATCCACCCGCCTCGGCCTCCCAAAGTGCTGGGATTACAGGCTTGAGCCACCACGCCCGGCTGGCTTTGTTCTTTTAAGGGATACACATGGCTATGCAGATACACCGACAACACAAATCCTGCGATTAACCGGAGCATCTTCTGGATAGTCTGACCTTTTGTCTGCAGTTCCTACTCCTAAAATGCGAATACCAGTTTTGTTGTCAACTATGTGCTTTTTGTTATAAACAATACAAATAAGATTCTTCATTCCCCACTGAATATTTAAACAAACAGAATCTGTTTGAATATTCTTTCCCTAAAATGAATGTTAACAGTCATTTATGAAACTGAATAACTGTTTGGTCCACAGAGGAAAACAAAACACCGCGAATCAATCTTTCATTAAAACACCACTGTAATAAAATACGCATCCAAATACACCAAACCTCTAATATATTTTAAATGTTGATCTGTCTCCAATGTTAACTACATGGAATGTTTCATTAAAATATGTTATTTATTTATTCATTTAAAAGATCTTTTCTAAGAGCCACTGTGTCAGGCCATCTTCTAGGTAATGGGCGTAGTGAATAAATGAGACAAAACCCTTGCACACATGGGGCTTTATATGGTTTGGCTGTGTCCCCACCCAATTCTCCTTTTGAATTCCCATGTGCTGTGGGAGGTATCAAGTGGGAGGTAATTGATCATGGGGGCAGGTCTTTTCCTGTGTTGTTCTCATAATATTGATTAAGTCTCACGAGATCTGATGGTTTTATAAGGGAGAGTTGCCATATCCAAGTTCTGCCTCTTTGCCCGGTACCATCCATGTAAGATATGACTTCTCCTCCTTGCCTTCTGCCATGATTGTGAGGCCTCCCCAGCCCTGTGGAACTGTCAGCCCATTAAACCTTTATATTTTGTAAATTGCCCAGTCTCGGGTATGTCTTTATTAGGACTGTAACACTGACTAATACAGGATTTATGTTTTATGGAGAAAAATTTTTTTTAATTAATTTTTTTTGAAACAGCATCTTATGCTGTTGTCCAGGCTGGAGGGCAGTGATGTGATCATAGTTCGCTGCAACCTCCAACTCCTGGGCTCAAGTGATGCTCCCATCTCAGGCTCCCAAAAATGAAAGTGATTTGGTGATGAGTAATTTAAGACAAGACAGTAGGGTACAGAGAGATGGACAGAGGAGGAAGCAGTGAAGAAAACGCCCTGAAGCAAGATGGAAATCAGCCCTTTGAGAAAGAGTTGTGATCCCAGCGTGCCTGGCAGGGCAGTGAGGGGCAAACATACAGAGGCAGCATGGAGAGTGAGGGCGGCCCTGCCTGTTGGGATTCCCGGAGCTGCCAAGTGATGCAGGAAGAAGGCACTGCAGAGCTTTGGAGGAGACCTGGTGTCATGGGATTACAGGTTTAATCCCTCCTCCAATCCCTCTGCAGCACTGGAAGAGCAGAAGCAGGAGAAAAATGAGTTCCAGCACGTTGAGGGTGGTTTCTCTGGACACCTATACCAAAAGTGCATTGGTTTTACTTTTAGAATTGTTCATGGGCTTGCACTTTGTTATCTTGCAGGGGCCAAGAGCACGTTCCAATTTCTGTCTTTTTGTTGTAATGTTTGTTTTTGTGATCTACTTCTTTTTAAAAATTTTACATAGGTTTTGGGGAACAGATGGTATTTGGTTACAAGAGTAAGTTCTTTAGTGACACTTTGTAAGATTTTGGTGCACCCATCACCCAAGCAGTATATGAGAACCCAATGTGTAGCCTTCTATCCCTCACCTCTTCCCACCCTTTCCCTGAGTCCCCAAGGTCTACTGTATCATTCTTATCCCTTTGCATCCTTATAGCTTAGCTCCCACTTATGAGTGAGAACAATGTTTGGTTTTCCATTCCTGAGTTACTTCAGTTAGAATAACAGTCTCCAATCCTACAAAGGTTGCTGTGAATGCCATTAACTCATTCCTTATAACAGTTGAGTAGTATTCCACTGTATATGTATACCAGTTTCTTTATCCACTCATTGATGGGCATTTGGGTTGGTTCACACTTTTACAATTGTGAATTGTGCTGCGATAAACATGTGAATGCAAGTATATATTTTTCATAACCTAAGCACTTTCTAATTAAGCTGTCAGTTTTTGGAAAGTTTGTAGAAGTGACTCAGAACTGAATTCCTGGATGGTCTGAAGGTCTGCCGTGAGGGATATAGAAACACTCAGAGGCTAAGCCAGATATGCTTCATTCTAGAGGAGAAACTTTACCTCAGTGTCTGAGAATGTCAAAGAAGCAAAGTTTGCATACATCATCACACTAGTATCAACACATTCAATACACAGGATATCACCACTTTCTGCGAAGGAGAACAGCACGCACATGAAATGCAGGTATTTGGTTGAGGTTCAATGTACACTCCACACCTCAGGCTACCAAGCAAAGATAATCCTTACAGGGTCAGGTCTATGAAAGTGAAGCTTTCCTAACACAAAACAAGCCAAAGAAAGCTACAGAGAACACTTTTGCTTAAAGATACTTTTTAGAGTTTAAGTTGCTGAAAGTGAGTTGGACAGGGCTGGGAATGGATTTACTTAAATTTAATGCTTGGGATTCCTTGAACGAGCATGTGTCACTGAAATTGACAAAGTTAATTCAGAACCCTGCATGGTTCATAACGAAAAGGGCTCGTTTGATGTGGGCTCTCTGTTAGGAAGCTGAGCTGGGCACCCAGGGTCCTGGCACAGGACCAGGCACCAGATTCGGTTTTGAACAACTTGCCCAGTGTTTGCTGGACCACTGTGATAAATTTAGTCTCATCAAGGCTCAGTGTTCACATTATGAGCCTCCTCCTTCCTACCTCAAAGGGTGGCCATGAGAATTAAAGAATGAAATTCATGAAAAGTACTTGCCATATTGCACTAGAAAGATAATTACTGCTATGATTATCAGCAAACCTTAAATGTTTCATTCTGCTTCTGTGATAATAGAGTTTACAATTTCTCCATAGTGTAAAATAAATTATGGCATTTTGGATACTATTTTTACATTAATTAAGGCAGGGAGCTCTTACGTGCAGGGGTCTCAGAAATGAAATGAGGGTGAGGGTCTTTCTGCTTTCCATGCTGAGGGTCAGGAGAGTCCTGTCATTCCCCAGTCCTACCAAAGAGGCTGACTTTGTTTATCCTGATGTATGGCTACTGCTGGCCATGGAGAACCTGTGTTGGACACATCCCTTATCAGGCTTTAGGCATGATTACTATCAAAGTAGCACGGTCCAACATCAGGAGGTTTGTGTATTTCACCTAACTTTTGTTCTTTAGTTGTAGAAGAAATGTAAGCATGTTTCATGATTACGCCAGTGATGCTTCATTTGGGGGAATTACTTTGTGATATTTTGCATTCTTGACCTCTTACACACTGAGTGTCACTACTGCCTCCAAATTATGGTGAGAAGGTTCACACAGGTTTTAGAATTTTATTTGAGGGTCCTGTCACCTTCAGGTAGAGTAGAAAATGAGTAAGATACTATTAACATTGATATGCTATGTTTATCAAACCTCCTTCTCTGTATAATCAGGATGGTCTCGATCTCTTGAACTCGTGATCCACCCGCCTCATCTCCCAACGTTATTCTTTTTTTTTTTTTTTTTTTTTTTTTTGAGACAGAGTCTTGCTCTGTTGCTAGGAGTGCAGTGGAGCAATCTTGGCTCACTGCAACCTCCACCTCCTGGGTTCAAGCAATTCTTCCGCCTCAGCCTCCCGAGGAGCTGGGACCACAGGTGCGTGCCACCACACCCAGCTAATTTTTGTATTTTTAGTAGAGATGGGGTTTCACCATGTTGGCCAGGAGATGGTCTCGATCTCTTGACTTCATGACCTGCCCTCCTTGGCCCCCCAAAGTGCTGGGATTACAGGTGTGAGCCACCATGCCTGGCCTCTGTATAATCAAACATAAGATGCCAGAGATGACTTTAACTTGTTTTCTTAGAAACAAACACTATGGCTGGATGTGGCAACTCACACCTGTAATCCCAGCACTTTGGAAGACCAAGGTGGGAGGGTCACGGTGGTGCATGCCTGTAATCCCAGCTACTGTGGAGGCTGAAGCAGGATAACTGCTTGAACCAGGGAGGTGGAGGTTGCAGTGAGTCAAGATCGCAACACGGCACTTCATCCTGAGTGACAGAGCAAGACTCCGTTAGGAAAAGAAGAAGAAGAAAAAAAGAAGAGAAACAAACACTATGGTTTAATATCAATTAAAATACTGATGCCCCTAACGCAAAATAATAATAAATAAATAAAATGCTGTTCAAAATATCTCTTCCAAATTATTGAACTAGAAATAAGATCTGATAATGAAGAGGCCTAAGGAAAATATTGTTTTAGGATCATCCCGGAGAGCTTACATAGTCCAATTACAAATACTGTCGCGTCTCTCTCTTCCCCAGAAGGCATCATACAGAAACGGTGTCTGCTGTTCTCGCGGTCTTCCCGGACACGCCACGCCGCGTCTTGTTCAGGTTCTCACCCCTCACTGT